GTGTTGTATTGTTGCCTCTGAGCAGCAGCTGTCTCCTTCCCTGTTCTCCAGTTCACAAAGCACATAGATATAATTTTGAATGATATTTTTCAGGGCTTGCATAAAACATCTGTTTCTCTAAATGCTTTGATTTTTATTACTTTCATTTTATCATTTCAGCTCTGAGTTAGGTAATGTCGTTGGTGGAAATTCCATTTTAGTAACTTCTCAAAACATTTTAGTGATGTAACTCATACGAACTATTACAGTTAATGGCAGGACAGACTGGGTAAGTGTGTCCAGAGACCTACCCATCCAACAACTGCCATTAATGTTTTTCTGGGTAATTGGTTTTGGATGGTACAAAAGACTCAGGAATTCCTTGTAAATTGGTTTTGGACTTGAACTCAGGAGCTAGGAGTCCTTTCGTGATTCCATCACTGTCTCTCAGGGTGTTCTATATAAGAAGCAATTTTAATGTCTGGTGACACCGTACGTAAATATAAGGAACCTTTGGAGTCAGATAGTCTCACATTGTGAGTAGTAACATTTTTCCACTTGCGCAAGACTACCTGGATGTATTGCTAATAATCAAGAAGTTGCAGAAATAGAGACCGATGATGTGTTGAAGAAGGGGAAAGCTCAGACTGCAGCTTTCCTGACAGTGGGTTTGGCATCTGTTAAGACCTCTTGAAAGGTTCTGTCTCAGTGCCAGCTGGCTTCATATTGTCATGGCTGAATGTTTCTTAGCCTTTTTGATCATCAACATGTAACAAATCTCTCTCCATATAATATATCTGACCTCTAGGTTGTATGTGCAGTTTTAGTTCCTTTCATAGTTGAAACGTTGGTAACAAAGGAAGCTATAGTGATAGATGTTATTGTTGTTAACTGCCGTTGAGTTGATTCTGACCCATAGCAACCCTGTATAGGGTTTTCAAGGAGCAGCTGGTGAGCTTGAACCACTGACTTGGCAGTTCAAACGACTTTGCAGTCTGACATATTAGCCTACAGCACCATACCGGGACTCCATGGTGACAGATATAGTCAGACTGAAAACAAGGCAATGGTGCTTATTAATCAAGGTTGGGAAGAATGTGTATAAAGTGTGTATATAGTCATAAGGACCCTTTTTGTTGTTATTAAGTGCTGTTGAGTCGGTTTCAACTCAACGACCCTGTATAGGGTTTCTGAAGAGTGACTGGTGAGTTTGAACTGCCAGCCTTGCGATTCAAACCAACTTTGAGGTCTAGTACTTACCCTACAGCACCACACCAGGACTCCAGGGACCCTATTGTTGTTGTTAAGTTCCGTCGAGTTGGTTCCGACCCATAGTGACCCTGTATCGGGTTTCCGAGGAGCAGCTGGTGAGCTTGAACTGCCGACCTTTCAGTTCAGATGGCTTTGCAGTCTGGTGCATTAACTTACAGCGCCACACCAGGACTCCCCAGGGACCTTATAGGACAGTAAAATTCCATAGGTTTCCTGAGGCTGTAAATCTTTTATGTTGTTGTTGTTAAGTGCTGTTGAGTCGGTTTTGACCCATAGTGACCTTGTATAGGGTTTCCCAGGAGCAGCTGGTAAGCTTGAACTGCCGACCTTGCAGTTCAAACAGCTTTGCATTCTGGCTCATTAACCCACAGCTCCACACCAGAAGTCCCGTAAATTTTTATAGAAGAAAATTATTTAATCTTTTTCTTATGGAGTGGCTGGTAGGTTTGAACTTCCAACTTTTCAGTTAGTTATCCAATCCTTAACCCATAGTGCCACGAGGAAACTTCACTTTCTACTATATAAGGTTTCCAAAAGCCGCCGGTGGATTTGAGCTGCAGACCTTGCTGTTAGCAGTCAGGTACTTACCCTACAGTGCCACACCAGGGCCCTTTTGACTAGATACAGGTAAATATAATAGTGTCAAGGGTGAATTCAGATAATCAAGTGCAATTACCTAATGCAAGGATATGTAGGTAGTAGATGTAACCACAATATTAAAAAAAACTTCTTGAAACTTAGGTTTTTTTCTCCTAAGATGCATTATGGATCAAACAGTATGAATTTTCTACCCAGTAAATAGTTGTTGTTAAATGCTGTCGAGTCGGTTCCTACCCATAGTGACCCTATCTAGGATGGTGAGTTTGAACCACTGACCTTGCAGTCCAGTGCATTACCCTAACAGTAAAACTGAACTTGTTTTTAGTTGGTCTTATTCCCTCATCAGCCCTTCATTGCGTATGCTCACCAGTCCACTTCCTAGGACAGATGCTATATAGTGAAAGAACTGTATTTGGAACCATAAGACCTGGATATTAACTACCATTTATTGGTTTAAGTTGCTTAAATTTCTCAGCTATGTGAGGCTTATGGAATGGTACCAGGCTTCAGTGAGATGGGTTAGTATCATTTTATTCTTACCAAAGTACCCTTTATGTATAAATATAATTAGCTTTAAAGAATTCCTCCTCGATATGAGTGCGTTAACCATTTTATGACTGGCAGCTGTGAGGAGCACTGAGTTAAAATTGGAATAGAGAGTTTTTTTAACTTTTTATTTTGAAATAATTTCTTACTTTGAGAAGAGCTGTAAGTATAATACTTATAACCACATGTGTAGCTGTCACACAGATTCCCTAGGTGTTAGCATTTTGCTATTTGCTTTGTCACTCAGAGAAACTGGTAAGCTAGCAGTTGAGTTTTGCAACATGTCTGGCATGCTTTATACGAGTTACCACATTTAATCGATACAACGTATTAACATGTGGTGGTGGTTATGTGCCATGGAGTCAGTTGCTGCTCATAGTGACTCTGTACAGGGTCTCCAAGGCTGTAAATCTTTACAGGAGCAGAAAGCCTCATATTTCTCCTGCAGAACAGCTGGTAGTTTCAAACTGCTGACCTTCAAGCTTCCAGCCTGATTCTTAACCACTACGCTACCAGAGCACCTTAACCTATTAACATACAGGTACATAAATGTATAGAAAGAAAAGGTAGGACTTAGGGAGGTTAGATCCGTTGCCTAAGATCCTACAATAGGCAGAGGTAGAACTTAAACACTGATCTGTTTTTGGTTTGTTTTTTTTACGTTTTTATTGTGAATTAAGTGATAGTTTACATGGGAGAACATGGATTTTACACTCATTGCAATGATTACAATCCCCTGCATGCATCATTATTTAACAATATTTGCTTCTATTCCCTCTGTTGGTTTTTTTGTGTGTTTTTTTTTGAGGTACACAAAAACACTCAAGAATATATAATCATTTAAACACTGATCTGTTTTTTGCCAACCTCCTCTACTAGAAGATCTGGAAACCTGCTTTCTAACTGGATTTTTCTGCTCACAGCAGTTTGTTGTTAGTGCTGTCGAGTCAGTTCCAACTCAGAGCAATCCTATATAGGGTTTCCAAAGCTTTAAATCGTCGAGGGAACAGGAAGCCTTATCTTTCTCCTATGGAGTGGCTGGTGGGCTCCAACTATGGACCTTGTGGTACACAGTCCAGTGTTTATCTTCTGGAGTCACTATGCTCCTCACAGCAGTATGTTGTTAAGTGCTGTGGAGTTGGTTATGACTCATAGTGATTCTGTATAGGGTTTCATAGGAGCAGCTTGTGGGTTTGAACTGCATACCTTGCGGTTCACAATCCAATGCTGATCCTGCAGTTTATCTCATCTGTTCAAGGAGTTCAGTGTCACCTCATTGTAGATACAGGTTATTGTCAATAAAGTGTCCTGAGAATTTTAACTACATAAATCAGTGTCTAATCTAGCATTGCTGAATAAATGAAATTTGCTTATGACAGAATTAAAGGCTGAAGCATGTATGCAGATTTTGTTGTTGGAAATTATTGATGAGCTTTTGTGTAAAATAGATGGGCTGTTACTGTGATTGGTGTTGTTTTGCAAGGGGCTAGACCAGGTGTGTTTTTCCTCTTGGGGAAAGCATCCATCGGTACTGGACTGTTTGCTTGTCCTAACCACCTCCTGACATCAAGTTTCTTGATTCGTTCTTCTGACTGACATACAGGGCCCTGAGCACACTGCTTCTAGAAGACTGGGGAAGATGACATTAAGGTTTGGTCTTTAGATTGTCACTTTTTTGGAACTGAATTTTTGTCTTCACTCCCTTGTTTTTCCAGAGAAATCTTGCCCCACTCAGTTTTGATAGGAGTAACTTTTCTAGAACCTTAAATAGAGGTTATACATTGGTAGCTCATGGGCTACATATGACTGGCAAATGTGTGTTTTTGGTTTACTTGATTTTATTTTTCTTTTTTTACATTACTAGTCAGCATTTAAAAGCAAGAAAATTTCACATAAAAACCAATATCCCAGTTTCCAGCTTTTTTTTTTTTTTTTTAAGGAATAAATGTCAATACTGGGCCCCACATAAAGTATGTGGCAGAGGGGTGTAGTAGTCAAGAGTTTGCTGATTGTCTCTATCAGCCTATGGATCTGGTTCCTGGAAGACTTGTAAATACTTAGCGCTAGACTTAGAACGTGAACTTATGTTTTAAAAGCTGCAGAAATACTGTTTGATGAACTTGTTAGTAGTGGGTTTACCTACCCCTGCTTACAAAACAAGAGTCCCGTTTTCCTGCGTAGTTAGAAAAATAGCTCATCAGTAGGATCAGTACTCCAAAATCGATACTATTCATCATCCTGTCAGCATTTCATTTCCATCCTTACGAGGCCAGATTGACCTCAGAGAGTTGTAGGCATCTTCTTGCAGTCGTCATTCCTGTCTTAGTTCAGATTCTCAACTTCATTCTCTGCACAGAGGTGACACTGTCAGCAGAGGGTGCTGTCTGCTCACTGAGCCAGCTGTCATCTTGGCTCAACTGAGCAGCAGCTGTTGGGCATGTGCCCTGGGTCTGTGTGAGAGTTTGGGCATGTCCATTTGGTTCCTATCCCTAGTGCCCACCCCTTAGACCCTGGCCAGGTTATTGTGTCACTAGGGACTCTGTTCAGTAACAGGAAACTGGGGAAAGTTTAATTGTTTTCTCCTCTCTCTTTTTCCCATGCAGCTGAACAAAAGGTTCATCCTCAGTTTTCTCCATGCCCATGGGAAGCTGTTTACCCGGATTGGGTAAGTGTGCAGGATGTTTATTTTATTTTCCTACATTACAAGTCATTTTGGAATTTAATATTGTTAGCAACTAGACTATGTTTGTAACTGAGGGCACAGGGTGTGAATTCTTAAAGGCCTCCACCTTCTCTTCCCTTCACTCTCTCCTACTGAGCTCATGAAATTTGGGAAATATTACTCTTTGTCTTTCTGTCTCTTCTGTCCCTGCTCTTATTAAACCCCCTTTTAAATACAGCCCCAGCCCCTATTCCCTTTGGGTTTCTCTTCCATCTTCCTGTTCCAGCCCTACTGTGCTCCTCAAGGCAGCCATGCTAAATCCCTGGGTGTAGCTGTCATGGGTTCACTTTGGGGAAAATACTGTTAACTGATTTTCTCTCAAAGAAAAGACTGCCATTTTCTTTCATCCATGCCCTTCTGACCCATACCTCTTCTTTCTGTGCTTGGTTTCTGGCATCATTATCACGTTTCTCAATAAATGTTATGATTATTTAATGGGCTCACCATCCATCATGAATTTACATACATGTAAGTCCCAGGGATGGCTATCTAGGCAAGACTCTTATCACTTCATCCCTTAAATTCTTGGTGAGAGGTTGAGTTTTGAGTATTCATTTTGTGAATCAGTGTTTCTCACTATTTAAAACTAGTGTTGTTAAAACTTGACTTAATATCTGCAAACCATAGCAAGTATGTGCTGAGCTCTTCCTTAGAATGGGATTCATCCTACATGCAGAATGGAGACAGAACGAGGATGAAGAGAGAGGAATAGTGTCAGTGTTTTCTGACAGGTCTTCTAAATTTAAATCTTTTCTTGGGTTGAAAGTTTTATTGTGAGCTCCCCTTTGAGGTAACTAGTTTTGGATTATAAGCCCTCCAGTAATCTTTAGTTTCCCTTTCACTTGTTGTCATAACTTTGTAAGTTTATCTGTAATGCTCTCTAGGTTTCCTTAGTGGTAATAAGAGCTATGTCAATTTCCTCATACTTTTGTACTTTTTTGAGATGTTGAAAGACTTTGCCCTGCCTGAAGAAACATTGTTTCATGTGACTAGAAAGTGTGCTTATTACACATTCATTTGACAACAGCCTGGACATGGGTGATAGTGATGGTAGTTTTGATTTTTTAAAAAATGTTTTATTGTGAATTAATGTGATTGTTTACATGGGCGAACATTGGCTTTACATTCATCCTATATCGTTTCATTGCCATGGTTACAATCCCCTCCATGCATCATCAACCAGCCAAAGGGTATAACCTACAAGCCTGCCCCCCTGTCGTCAGCACACAGTAGTTTTGATTTTGAAAGGTAGTTTTAATTTTGAAATGACTTGGGAAAATTGGAGTTGTGCCAATACAGTAGAATAATTTCTATCAGTAGAAATCAGGTTAAAGTAATTCACTTTGGAAAAATAGGTGAGATGCATTATTTGCTACCCTCTCACATTTCATAAAGGAGCTCTGGTAGCATAGTGATTACGAGTCGGACTACCCACCTCAAGGTCAGCAGTTCGAAACTATCACTGGTTTTGCGGGAGAAAGATGATGCGTTCTGCGCCCCTAAAGATTTACGGGGAACCCTAGAGTTATTGGAAACCCTATGCAGGGTCACTAAGAGTTGGAACCAACTCCATGGTATTTACCACCTCTCATATAATCTCCACTCTGAAGGGTTTTTGTCTGTCACTATTGTATCCTTAGTGCCTAGCACAGTAGTACAAGGGGGCTCAGTAATACAAGGGGGTTTCAGAAAATTCATGGGAAATTTTCATTGTCTTTCTGTTCCATTTTCCCATGAACTTTTTGAAGCCCCCTCCTATTTGTTATATGAATGAGTGAATCATTGTAATAAGTGGATGAGTTGTGTAAGATTGGAGAGAAGAATCTAGTATTCTGCTAAGTTATTATAGACCCCAAGTCAATCATTTACTATTTTACCTTAGAAAATAACATCACAACAGAAAATAGATACTGTGTGACACTTAAAATAGTAGGTGATAGTACCATTGCTTATCTCTTTTATTACTTTTTTTTTTTTTTTTAATATTTTTCTCTTACTATCCTTTTCACTAGATATTTCCTCTATTTTTCTCTTTTTTTTATTTTGGTTCTTTAAATTTTTCTGTAACACATTGCTTTAAATTAAGATTTTTTTAAAGTGTTTTATTGTGAATTATATGATAGTTTACATGGGAGAATATTAGTTTTACATTTATTCTATCGTACATCGTATCATTGCTGTGGTTACAGTCCCCTCCATGCATCATCAACCAGTCAAAGGGTATACCCTGCAAGCCTGCCCCCCTACACTATCCCCGCCCAGTCTTCAGCACACAGTCGCTCTTCCTCTCTGTATCTAAGGTCTCCAGGTGCTCCATCGCTCCACGTCATTATCTCTGCCTACATCTCGGGCATCACTGCTTCTCTGGGTAGGTTCCCGCTCTCGGCTCTTCTCCGTTGATGGTCCCAGGGACCTCCGCTCCTAGACTGAAAAGTTATTCCCTCCCTTCCTTGCTATAAAATGTCTACCTTTACTTTTCCAACCTTCACAATCAGTCCTAATAACAATTATTCACTATTGTATCACAAGAGACCCATCTGCATTTCATTTCATCAGCTCTGCCTAGACAGATTGGATACTACTCACTGGAGATTCTGCCTTCCTCGAGGCCTCCTGGCTCTAGGTTCCCTCTTGAAAGCTTGTAAGATAGTCACTTCTTGCCTTTGTAGCCCCCCTCCCTCCCCATTTTGGGTAGCCAATGTCCTAGTTGCCCATCCTTGTCTACTCTGTGTGTGGAGGGGGTAGGAATGATTCTTCTTGTAAGAATTTGTTCCCTCTTTTGAGCTACTGCTTCCATAGGTGTAGGTCAGGTTCATCAGATTGCATCAGATTACTCTTTTTTTCCTCTTCTTTCTTCTTCTGGTTGAGCTCTGATCATCCAGTCATTGAAGCCAGGTCAAGTGGGTATTATCTGCAAGTGTGGGTGTTCTTGTGCATATGCCCTCTCTTTTTATCAGCTGAACGCTGCACTCTCCATATTGTAGGGCTTAGCTCGTCACTTCATTGTTGTTTTTCCCTCATTTCTCCTTATCGGTGACGAGCGTGGTCACCAATCAGAGCATGTATTCCCATTGAGTCTTAGTCTTGGAAGGGGGTTTAAATTAAGATTTTTAACCTCAGTACTAGTGACATTTTGAGTTGAATAATTTTTGTTGTGTGGTTGGGGCGAATTTTCCTTTACATTGTAAGATATTTAGCAGTGTCTCTGGCCTCTGCTCCTAGATGCCAGTGGGGAATAATTCCATCATTCCAACATCACCAAATCATGACAATTAAAACTGCCTCCAAGCATTGCCAAGGTTCCCTGGGAGACCAAATTGCCCCTGATGAAGAACCACTGCTCTAGGTATTTCTTAGCTCCATTAGAACTTTTGGGACTAAAGAAGTTGTAAATTTTGACCTAGTTGTTGCTAAGTGCCATCAAGTTGGTTTCAACTCATAGCAACCCTGCATAGGATTTCTGAGGAGCATCTGGTGAGTTTGAACTGCTGTCCTTGTGTTTCAAACCAGCCTTGTGGTCAGGTGCTTATCCTGCAGCGCCACACCAGGACTCTTGGCCTAGAGTGAAGCACTATTAATGAATATTTTATTATATTAAGCATTAGTTCGAGCTTGATTTCTTCCCTCCTCTTCCCCTTTAAAATACTCATTAGACAAACATGATTTTGGAGAAAGTTTGGGAAAGAACCACAATAGCATGTTGGATAATGAGATCTGAGAGGATGAATTAATCTGTAAAAATGCTTAAGGTTAAAATAAAGGTTTATTTATTTAGAGATGGCCATAATGCCCTGTGTTTAAATATAGAAAAAGTCATAAGCAGATAGTCTTGATTTTTATGAGAAGACAGGAAGAGAAAACAGGCTTATGTTGCAGCTGGAGAGATTTGGGTTAGGTGTAAGAAAATTTCATACAGGGAAGATGTTCTGGAATTTTCTTCTCTGGCGACTGCTAAAAAGACATAGATGATCTCATTTGTCTGAGATAGTTTACTGTGGTCCAGATTACTTTGCAGAATCTCTTCCATTCCTGCACAGAACATACTCTGTTGGAAAAAGCACAAGCCCAGTCCAATTTCACCTTCATAAAAATGAGTTACATTAGTTTCCACATGAGAAAACATGGAAGTTCTAGGTATTCTAGCCCTTTCTCTTATGCAGTCCTGGAGGTAAAAGCATTGAGTCCCATGTTTATTCTAGAAGGAAGAAACAGCCATAGTGTTTCTACTGAGGGGAAAAAGTGTTTGTCTTGAAGTAGACTGGAAAAGCAATGAGCCTTAGCCACACACAACATCATGGACTGTTGCTTAATTACAAAGAAGATGTGAAATGTGGGAGGCGTTGAAAACGAATTAAGAGAGAAAAGATTGTAATGGGGAGCAGCTGGAGTCCCATCACTGTCCCGCCTGCCTAGTAAGAAAAGCCCTGCCACTTCTCCATCTTCTCATGCCTCATGTTCCAATGTTTCACATTGCATCAGTATATGCTTGAGTACCTACTGTGTACAAGACAAATCTGTTTACTCTTTAGGATCAGTTGAAAGAGGTTCAGCTCACTAGATGGGATCAAGTGCTGTAAAGATTTTATTTTTCACTGCGTTAACTAGTTACAAGATGTTGAAAGTGAATATGTTAGAGTCTCTGTGGGCTTCAGTTTCCTTATCAGTAGTTTAAATGAATGCTCTCTGAGGTCCATTCTGTCCTTACATGCCACAGCACTGTGGTTTGTTCTCTCTCTGATTTCTACTGTCACATGGCTTCTTCTTTTTTATTTCCTATTTATTTATTTCTCCTGTCTTACTCTTTTGTTTGTTTAATTAAGAAATTGAAGAAAGTTAGGATGTGTGACTCTTTTCTAGCCAAGCTGTAGTCCTCAGCATCTGAGGGGTTGGATCCTTCCTTGTTAGTCAGTGTCTGAGCCACTCTTGGCTTTAGTTCCCAGTGTTGTGTAAAAGATTGAACTCCTGAAACTGCCTTTCAAATCAAAGTGTCTCTAAGAGATCACTTTGTAGTCATGTAAGTCAGTGAAACAATTATCTTGAACGTAATTGTATCTTCTGCACTTTTAAAGGATAAGGACACAGTCCCTGTGGACCCAGGCAGTGGTATTCGGCAGGGATGCCACAAAGCTCCTGACATCCCTCCTAGAGGGAGAGCCATCACGCTTACCACACTGCCCTTACACTCAGTTGAGAGAAGTCAGGAAACCCACAGTTGTGACAAATAGAATAATTTTGCTTCCAGTTGTTGCACTGGTGAACGTTAAACCACCTTACTTTTCACTTACTTGCCTAGTCATGACATTTACACAGTTTCAAACTCTTGGAATTCAGAGACTGATATATTTGTTTTGGACTTAGAAATTTTTGAAAATGTTTGCATCTTGATTTAAATTAGCAAGTGTTTTTAAATATAAAAGTAATAGGTGTTTGCAGCAGTGAAGAAATGGGCTGAGTTCAACCATGTTCCATAGACTCCTGTTGACCTGGAGATGAGAGAGAGAACAGGAAGGGCTGGTTGGTCCAAAGTGTGGCGAGACCTGGGGACTCTTGAGCCTATGGACAAGGGCATAGCTACCGAGGCCTAGAACTGAGAGTGAAGCATCCAGCTGATATGAAGTGAGGGGAGACACACAAGAACGCCCAAACTTGCAGATAGTACCCATTTAATCTAGCCTCTATGGCTTGATAATCAGAACTTGACTAGAGGAAGATAAAACATTTTTGATGAAGGAAACGAGTGTAAATTGCTACAATTTGATGAACTTGACCTATACTTATGGGCATAGTAGCTCAAGGTACCAACTGAGAGGGAAGGAGTCTTCACATCAAGTATCAATCCTATCCCCTGTGTATACAGGGTAGATAGGGACAGGCAACTTAGACATTGGCTACCTAAAATGAGGGGGCGATAAAGGCACGAAATGATAGACTTACAAGTTTTCAAGAGGGAGTTTAGTTTAAGAGTGTGCAGGGGAAGATAGAGTCCCTACTGAAGAGTTTTCATCTTGTCTAGATGGATTTGATGAAAGGAGATGGGGATAGGATTCTTGTGAGTCAGTAGTAATTGTTATCATGACTAATTGCAGCTGTCACAACTGTAAAGATTGAGGTTTTGTAACAAAAATGGGAGTGTAGTTAATCTTACGTTTCAGAAACAGAGGACCATAGAACCATCAAGGGAGAAGAGCACAGTCGGAATGTGGGACCCCATCTAGAGAAGCAGCGACACCAGAGATGAGAACATGGAGAGAGGGAGCAGTTGAGAACTCTGGATTCATGGAAAGAGAGGGACTGGGTGTTGGCAGCAGGGAGGCATGCTTATAGAACGTGCCCTTTGGTTGTTTAAATTATTATATATTCCTGAGTGTTTTTGTGTATGTCCCCTCCACCCCCCACCACCCAAAAAAAGAAAACAAAACAGAGGGAATGGAAGCAAATATGTTTGCTTCCATTGAATGATGATGCATGGAGGAGATTATAATCATTGCAGTGAAACGGTGATATAAAGCCGATGTTCTCCCATGGTAAAAAAAAAAGTAATAGGTGTTCATTGTGGAGGAAGTTTTTTTTGTTTTATTTTTTTTACTATACAGTATGTATTGTAAAATATTTAGAAAACTCAGTGTAATTAAAATAAGCACATTACCCATATTCTCACTTTCCAGAGATAATTATTATTTGTTAACATTTGTTTTATATATTTTAAATATTTTTTTCTATACACTATATACACTGCACACACACACACACACACACACACTTTTTTACAAATATGTATAAAAAGAGATCATATTAAACTGCTTTAAGACTGTTGTTTTCACTTATTATATCTTGAACTTTTCCCCACATGATTAAAACAATCTAATACAGCTTGAAAAGCAGTATTCAGTTATATGAAAGTGCTATCTTGTTAAGTGCTATCGAGTCAGTTTCAACTCATAGGGACTCTGCACAACAGAACAACACACTGTCCAGTCCTGCCCCATCCTCACAGTTGTTAGGTTTGAGCCCATTTTGCTATCACTCTTTCAGTCCATTTGTTTGGGCGGGGGGGTCTCCTTTTTCTTGCTTACTCTCCACTTTTCCAAGTGTGATATCCTTCTTCAGGGACTGGTCCTTTCTGACAACATGTTCAAAGTACATGAGACTAAGTCTTACCATGCTCTCTTCTAAGGAGCATTCTGACTGTACTTCTTCCAAGAAAGATTTGGTTATTATTTTTGCAGTCCATGGTACTTTCAGTATTCATAATTCAAATGTTTCGATTCTTCTATCTTCATCATCTATTGTTGAGCATTTTAGATTGCCTCTAATTTTTTGCTGTTGTAAATGACCATCTTTTTATGCTTTCTCTCTTCCTCCTCTTCTTGGCAAAACTTAAAATTACTACATAATCAATATATAAAATGATAAAAAATTATAACGCTACAGATAAGACTAAGAATTTTTAGTTCTCCCTTACCCGTTTATCCTCCAAAGAGATAACATTGGACATCTGTTTGTTTTCGTCAAGATCTTTTTACTACATTTTATAAACTTATTTATGTACAAAGGGACTTCAAAAAAATTCCAGGAGAAATTCTGTATCTTTTAATTCCATTCTTCCATAAAGTTTTTGAAGACCCCTTGTATCTATAAAAATATAATTTATTTTGAGGTGTTTTTTTAAAAAATTTTTTTTATAAAAACATAAATTGTATACCATTATTCTATCAGTTTTTGTCTAGTTTTCTTCTCTGTGATATAGGTTAAATGTGCTTCCCTTCCCTTTGTTAGTGACTGACAGCTTATTTCTCTGATTAGACAGACCATCTTCCCTCCTATCTCAGGTTTGAGGTTACCTTATGCATTTGATTTGTTTTGTTTAATCATGTTGATCTGTGTGAAAGGTAAAGAGAAACTTATTTTCAACAAAAGAAAACGTGGACATTTGGCCTGGTGCTTGTTTGTAACTTCAGTCTGACCGAGGGAGTGTTCATGGATCTGTTTCAATTCCCATACCAGAGAAGAGGCTTCCTCAGACACAGCTTCGACTATCCCACGTGACACTTCTGTCATGTCGTTCTGTGCTGGCTCTCTACTGCCTTTCAACACGGAGACACATGGCTCTGAAACTTGCCCAGTGTGGCTGCTTTTCAAGCAGAATGAACTCTGCTAGTCTCATAATGAGAAGTGCTAGTCCCCCTCCCTACCTCCCAGCAGAAAGAGTGCTGTGCAGTGTCAGGATTTAAAATGAAACCTTTGTTATAGCCCATGGGGAAAAATGGATCCAATCCAGCCCCAAACATATTACTCTCTGCCATTCCAAACCTACAAAGAGTTTTAACGGTTCTGAAACTTTTTAGAGGTGGGGAAAAAAGGTGTTTTGTTTTGTTTTCTAAAGGATACTTGAAATGGCATGTGGGGGAAAAAAGCAAAGGCATGGCATGTTTTGTGCCAAGGAAAATGAGGACAACTTAGCCAAGAAGGGAACCGGAATGTAAACTGTAATTGACCCATAGCTGTGGCATGACTTCTGGACACCAGAGGGTCAATAATAGGAGTTGCCAACAAAGGGGCAAGAACGGAAGATTGCCAAGATGCCAGAGAGCTCTGGAGTTTTCTAATCTGAGGAGAGTACTACTCCCCAGGGAAAGGACTAAGGTGCCACTGCAACCAGAAACACCTTTACTAGGATTGGAAATTGTTGTATGTTTTTTGAAAAGGATTCCCTTTCCTATGGCTTTCTAGAAGCTCTTTATTAATCTAGCCAAGAGCTATTTCTCCCCCCACTCCCCAAACAATCTGGTTGTTTGTTTGTGGAAGGGTAGGGTGGATAAAAGATGCTTAGCTGACCACTAATTGTTCAGAATGGCCCAAAGACTCTTGTGCCTGGTTTCTCTTTCTAGCACCAAGTTTGAATTTGCTTTTTATTTCTCAGGGCTTCATCTGTGGTTTGTTCCTCTTGCCAAAGGAGCTCTAAGCATGCACCACTGTTTGAGATCCAGTGGACACACTTGGCAAGCAGTAGTTTGAATGACCTCTCTTTAGGAGCCCTAGGTCACTGGCTAGATTTCTGTCTCTCTGTATTAGAGGCTCTTCCTATACTGGGAGTGGCACTTGGCCCAAGGCATTATATCCACTAGTTTGCAAATGCTTAGACCCTGATGAACAGGCTTGTGTAAGGGGGAGGGCACCAATTCAGGATCCTAAGATTGAAATTGATCATTGGGGGTCCTAGTTTCAGGGGGAAAATATAGGATCCTTTCGGGGAGCAATTAGTGTGATAATACTCTGAAGTCAGCAGCAAAACTGTCAGAAGTATTTCTTAAGCAAAGAGTCTGTAGATCCATGTAACCTCTATAGAAGACAGTTTTCATACCAGAGAATTTAGGGAATATGTAGATCTTAGAGTTTAAAGGAAATTTGTTTTCTATTTAGAAAAACTTTTCAGAGAATGTTGATATCAACTTGAATCCAGTTAATTGCCAGGGGTTAGGAAATAGCGTGCTAAAGAATAATAACTCATGTGTCGTGATTTCTTCAAGAATTGAGTTGTTTTCATCTTCAGGGTTTCAGTAAACCCTGAACACTTGCCTCCTCTCTTTTTAAATTTATTCAAAACTATAAGAAGATTTGTGAAAGTAGCAAAGAAATGTTTTAGGTGTTATGTGTGTACCTTCTGTGTTAGTGCGTGTGTTTGTGAGTACCAAGTGCTCTTGGGGATGTGCCTTACTGATAGCTTTGCTGTGTCTGCAGGATGGAGACCTTCCCGGCAGTGACTGAAAAGGTCCTCAAGGAGTTCCAGGTGTTACTGCAGCATAGTCCCTCTCCCATTGGAAGTACCCGCATGCTGCAGCTGATGACCATCAATGTGTTTGCTGTGCATAACTCCCAGTTGAAAGGTAAGGAGCATCCAGCTTCTTTATCTTGTTGTTGTTGTTGTTAAGTGCCATCGAGTCGGGTCCGACCCATAGCGACCCTGTACAGGGTTTCCGAGGGTGTAAATCTTTACGGGAGTAGAAAGCCTCATCTTTCTCCCGCGGAGCGGCTGGTAGTTTCGAACTGCTGACCTTAAGGTTCGCAGCCCGATTCGTAACCACTACGCTACCAGAGCTCCTTAGCTTCTTTATCTAGACAGAGATTAATCTAGCTTCTTTCCTAGGCTACCACACCCCCATCTCCCCACCTCCCCAAGGCAGACACACTACCTTCCCCACAACTGCGTCTTATATCTTTGAGTTTACTCTGTGCAATCTATGTGACTCTCTAGTTCTTGGGTGGGATGGAAGGAGGGAATCATGGATATAGAGCTTAATTTGCAAACCCAGAGATGCTGTTGCACATCTGGCCATGCTAAAGGCAGCGCAGCAGCAAGGCCTCTTGGAGGCTGCAGACTCAGAGTCTCTCCCAGGGGAGAGGCATTGCTGAAATGTTTCATTGCAGAGACCATACGCTTGGCAGGGGTTGGGAATAGCTGTTTCTGGACTTGTGTACTCTGTTTGTTCAATATGGAAAAGTCTAGTTCCCTATGGGATATCCCTTGTGCCAGGGAGTAAGAACAGAGAATCGATGAGCTTTGGTGACTCAAATCTGGAAGCACAAAAATCACCAGGCCTAGAATTTGACTAATGTACTGGTGTGTAGTCTGAAATGCTTTTTTGAACACTTTATTTTTGGTGTGGTGGGGAGGACAGGGGGGAAAGTAGGCTGATTGACAGAGTTTTTAAATGTTTTGTGAGCAGGTCACAGTGAAAAAAAATGTTACCTTTCCCTCTATTCCATTTAGGTAAGGATGATGTAGTTTGAGCTGCTGAAAGCATGCAGCATTGGTGGTGGTGGTGGTTATGTGCTGTGGAGTCGGTTCCAACTCATAACGACAATGTACAGGGTTTCCAAGGCTGTAAATCTTCACGGGGGTAGAAAGCCTCATCTTTCTCTCGCGCAACAGCTGGTAGTTTCGAACTGCTGACCTTGTGGTTCGCAGCCTGATTCATAACCACTATGCTACCAGAGCGTAACATTATTTTGTGTATTTGTTTGCAAGGGAGATTTGGTCTGTGCTGCCAAGGAATCACTCAGCATTTACAGACAGAGTTTGACTTCAGTACTGGAACTTTTATCGTCCAAAATGCCACGAAGGTGGGAATTATGCCATGGAAAGTTATTAAACATATCTGGCATTTTTGGACAGAGTGTCACTGGTTCTCTTGCTTTACCTTTTCTTGGTGCTTTTTTTCACCCTGAAGTTGATTTCATTCTCTTTGCATTTGTGTATTGGAGGTTTTGCTTTAGTTTGCTGGTGGTGGGGGAGTTTCCTTGCTGATGAATGGCTATGCTACACTGTCCTTTGAAACTTTGCTCTTCCTGGGACACTGCAGAGCCCTCTGCTGGCCTGCCTGGCTTTTCACTCACATCTGAGGGGGATTTTCTCCCCTCATGTTGCCTGCTACAGCATTTAAAATTCCTAACAGAAGACAAGAGGCAGAGGCACTTAGGTGCCGTTTTGAACTTGGCTAATCATTCCTGAGATGGCTATTTGTTTAAGTGACTCTGAGGAAGGATGGAGTCCTCTGAGGGACTGTGGTGGTTTCCAGGAAGGAGGAAATAGAGTCTGTCAAGTGCTGTCCGGGTGGCTGGAAATCCAAACGGGAGGGAGATTGATTCCTTCATGGTTACTCTGCTGGTGCTGCTACAAAGTGGGAAGCTCACCAAACTCAGGAAATGGAGGCCTCCTGAGGTGCCCTCCCATTCATTTTACTGCCTCCCCTAAAAAACAACCCATAGAGTGCAGTGAAGTGTCTGTCACAGAGCTGTAGCCTCTGCCATGGCGCTGTTCCAGCATCAGGTGACCTGTGGCCTCTGTAGGTGTGAATGTAAAGGACCTGCAGATCTTGCCTGTGAAGCATCTGTTGTTAGCAGCTTCTGCTCCATAAAAAAGAATACCTTGGCCTCTTCACAGGCCACCAGTGAGGCTTTTCTTGTAGCTGTTAAGTAAAGGTTAAAAAAAAAAACATGGGTGAAAGGTAAGCGAAGTGGTGAGAACAAAGAAGGAAATAGAAAGTTCCCCCATTTGAGGCTAAGATACTTTTAGTAGAACTCTTTTTCCGTGGTTGATCCTAATGAAGACCCTCTAACCAGGAAGGCTGTGTAATTAGCCTGTACTTGAAACCCTACTACTTGTTTTAGGCCTTACCCTGATTCTGGCCTTCATGAACCAGCAGCTGTGGCCATGAGGAGTAGAGCTTCGGTGGTCAGAGGTTCTAAGGGTGTTTCAGGGAAAAACAGCCCAGGCCACAGGATATAACACTCAACTAGGACAGAGAGCTCTGTGGACGTGCTGCCAAGTACCCGGTGTGCAGCTGAGGCGGCTGTTCCAGACCCCACTGTGTGGGCTGCCATTGGGAGAGGGGTGAGCAGAGCACTCAGCAGGACTGGTTGGTGGGAAGATGCACTTTTCCATTTCCCAGCACATGAGTCATATTCTTTGGGCCCCTATGCTGTGCTTGCACGGACAGTGGCAAGAAGGGGGTGTTGTGGCTGAGCAACAGCATCTGTGCCGGGGGTGGAGAGGGAAGGGGGTTGGGGAGAGGGTAAAGATTTAAATCCTTCACTAATCAGCAGCAGTTTGAATCACATTTTTATGAGTAAGGAAGTGATAAATCAACTTTCAGTGTTCAGCCTCCAAGTCCAGTCAGCCAGTGCCCTTCTGAAGGTTTCCTTTCAAATCAGTTTGCATGTTGTCAGAGTCGCCACCCAGCCACGGGTGCCCGACTGTCTGAAACCAGGAAGCAAGTGCCTGATGCTGCCTGGCCCTCCCAGGTGCTTGGGGTCTGTGGTGATTTGGCAGCAATTGTGAGCTATAGAACATCTGGGCCATCATTTTTCTTTTCATTCCTTCTTGGATGTGTTCTCCTGGGTGGGTGTTTGCATATGTCAGTTCCTGGACTCTGTGGAGAAGGAGCATTCCAGCCTGGAGCAGAGGTGATCTTACAGCCTTCAAGGCAGTCTGGATCCTCTCAGTCAGTGCCTGGGCCTTCCCTGCAGATGTGGTACCAAACGAGTGTGAGTTGCGAGCAACAGAGACGTCCTAACTAAAAAGTATGTCCTTTGTTGATGCCTCTAATGCTACCATGAGTAATTCCTTTTTTGTGTTTAGTTGTACCCTTGTGTAATGTCCTCATTTTAAAATACCAGTAATCAAGGGACAGAAATCATGCCATTACTAGCACTTTAGTGTGATTGCTTCTTAAGCTTCCCTTGTGGTGAGGAGAGCTGTAGAGCTGTTGAAAGCTTTGGTCACTTCAGAAGGCAAAAGTGGGGGAAGAAGCTAAGCCAGTGTTAAAGGAAAAGGACCTTTCCCTGTTTCCTAGGTTATAGTTTTCCCTGGAGCCAACCCTGCTCAGGGAGGCTGAAACAGTGAGGCCGGATTTGTCTTCCTTCACAAGCGGGCAGTAAGTTGAGTTATGCTACACAATTTAGCTGTTTGAACTTTCAGGTCTCAACAGGGACCCTGCAAGTCATGGGTTTGGGCTATTGATGGGGAAACTTTTATCTCCTTAATAAGACTACAGAATGTCTTCAATCCTAATGTTTCACACTGAGGTGGTTGGGACAGATAAATGTGAAGGATGAGACAGGGATGTTTGGGAACCCTAACGTAGTGCCTGGTATTTATTAGGCACTCAGTAAGGATGCTAAAGGCCATGGTTTTTAATAAGCTAGCTCTCATTGAGCAGTGTGTTCCTTACCTGGCCAGTGTCCAAAGCTGTCCTTTGGTGGGTAGTGGGTGGTGGCGAGATAGCTGGTTCCCAGAGTGATGTCACAATTGGTAATCTCTCTAAGGTATTCCCGAGCCTGAGGGAGAAATGGGGCCTTCTCCACATGGCTCAGCATTTAAGGCTTCAGTAGCCATCTGATTGGCTGCCGTGATGCTGGAGGGTGAACTGTGGATTTAAACCACAAGCACTCCAAGAATTTTAATTTTTTAAAAAAATTCTGTAATTTAAGGAAATAAAACTCTCGTTTCTTAAAGATGAATAATTGAAGCAACATTTGTGGTAGGGCATCACTGAAACCCCATTGCGTCCCCCATCTGTGCCCAATTTATTCCAATCTGGCCTTTTTTGCTCTCTTTTTTCCCTCTCTCCCTCTTGTTCTCTCTCTCTCTCTTTTTAAAATATGTTTTATAATTCCTGGAATCAAAACCATCTCAGGCACACACTGTTTTATTTTACTGTATTATTGGATTATACTTCCTATAAATCATTGGATGTTATTCATTGGCCACCACTGGAATAACTTCCCTTTTCTGTGCCCTGGACCCCTCTTTTCCTTCTACCAATTCATAACCATGGTGCAGAAAAGCCCTGGTGGCAGCAAGAGGGCACCCAAGAGACACTTCTTGCCTGTGCCTTCAGTATTTCCTGTTCTCTGGAAACATTGAGGGGCTGGGATTAAGGTAGCATTGGGACTAGACTAGTATTCCTTTCATTTTCTTTTATGCTTGCTTTTATGCTCTGTTAGTAATCCCAAATTGCAGGAGGTAGAGAGAGTGTCATATGTACATTTTGAGAGGGAAAGATAACCACAGCTGTCTATGTGGGACAGATAGAGCTTAACCCAGAGGTAGGGAATGCTTGAGTGGGAACCCACACCTTTATACCATTATCATGTACGGAAGTAGACTGTAGTTGAGCACTTGTATTCACAACCAGTATTTCTTAGTCTATCAGTATCATCTTCAATAGATGACATAGAGATAGCCACCCTAGCGACCTTTAGAAAAGCAATTTTCCTCTTTGTGGTGATTTACTTCTGTCTGAGTCTTTTACCAAGTAGAATATATGAAGTGCCTATGGCTTGAGTTTAGCTGTCTATCAGTTGTTCCTTTCAGTCTTCCTTC